TATATATATATATATATATATATATCTGTTTTCCGTATCTTTCTCTCATAGACCCTAGGCATTTTACACAGTTTTACTCTTATTATTTTCCTTTGATATAAATGTGTGTTTTACACTCTCGTGAGCTTTGGAAATGTCACCTGTTTATGGGTTTACCTAAAAAGTATTAAGGGGTTGCTATGCTAAAAAAAACAAATGTGGGTGTTTAGTTTTTAAGTAATTTGGGAAGGGGCGTTTGCTTTTCGATTAGTAAACTTGTCCTTAAACAGTGTGTGTTGCTTGCCGTTTCTTACTTTTGTCACGGCCTGATTTAATAATTTTCAGACTGTCTCAGAAATGATCCTGAACTTTGAAGAAAAGAAAATTAGGAAAATTCTATCCCATTACCTGTTTGCATGAATTGGAGAAAGGCAAGAGACAAGATAGAAGCAAGGGTGCCCAAGGCAGATGTAAAGTGAAGCACAGTTTGTTCTTTTTTTTTAATTACAAAAATAGTTTCAGATGTGTTTTAAAATACCGCAAAAGTCTCATTATGAATAATGTATGCATATCAACATCACGCTCTTTTCACTATTCTATTTCACAGCTATGTTGTGAACAAAGGGAAATTCCATGTGCAATACATTATCAACGGTGTCTTGGGTGGACTTGTCTCTATTACAGGTAAAGATGTTCTTTGTACCCATTATTTGTTGTTTGCAATATTTATTGTCGCTTCTGTGGCCGCCTCTGTTGACCCAGACACTCTAAGCTGTTATTTTAGCTCCTCATGCAGACTTTATTTTGATTATAATTGATCCGCTTATGGTGAACGCTTGAGAATCCTATTTTATTCGTTTATGAAGTGATCATTTTCAAGAGCACGTGATTCAAACAACATTAGATAGCAAAGTAAATACAAGTAATGCGAACACTATTTTGTATCCGAAGGTAGCTATGGTAACGGAGGCCATAGGTGAGTTTATTTGCCCCGACCCCATTTCAAAATGATGATTATGATAATGATGATAATGATGATGATGATGATGATGATGATGATGATGATGATGATGATGATGATGATGATGATGATGATGATGATGATGATGAT